CTCGTGCCTCGCGGGGGTGCGGCGCCGATAAGCACGACCGCGCTCGCGCGACCGCCGGGGGCGGGGCCAGGGGGCTCGTGGGAGCAGCCGCGAGGACGCTCAGCAGCGGGGGCGGAGGGGCTGCTGCGGCGGGCTGCGGCGGGCTGCGCGTGCGCCTGGCGTTGAGGTCTCTGCGAGGGTCTCCGCCACGCGCCCCGCAGCACACCGCCCTCAGCCCACTCCGCACCCCACCTCTCAACCTATCCCATCCCCCCAACCCACGTAACCTCGCACCCCACCTGAGCTCACACCTCATCTAACGGACCGTCTAGAGAGAGCACGTCACCCTCTCTCAGTTATAGCGGGGGGTTAGCGCCTGCGACACTAGTGGTAGGCCACCCCGCACTGCACGCATGCACCACAGGCATGATGTTGCCTACCTTCCAGGCTCCATGAGAACAAGCAGAAGCTAAACTTGGCAAGTTTGTAACGGAGAATGGCGGACGCACTTTCCGGATGATCACTAAATGTTACTCAACTCCCCCTCACTCACCTCTCTCCCACTTCTATCCCACTCCTTCTCTCTCTCTCTCTCTCTCTCTCTCTCTCTCTCTCTCTCTCTCTCTGTGAGTGCGCTGTAGCTCTGTCACACACACACACACACACACACACACACACATCTGCGCTCTATCTGGCTGAGCCGATCCGGGTCGACCTGCCCCGAGGTCACACCATTCGGTTGAAAGCGCGTGCGATATCGGCGAAAATCCGATGCCGGTGTTGGACGCGGTGTGGCAAACCGACCTAGCTGCTGTCGACAGACGTAGCACGAGCGCGCCTCCCGGACCACAAAAACAAAAGCTTGTGCGTTACGCGGTGTCCTATGCGGGTGATTCACTCGTCGCGACCCAGTCAGACGAAGGCTCTTCTTTGCCTGTTGACCGGCAGGCAATAACAGGATGGGGGCGTGCTGGCCGGCCACTCCCGGCGCCCTGCGCTGCGCGCGCGCTGGTTCCCACGACCCGGAGGCGCGGTTGAATCGCTGAAAGTGGAACTAACGTCACCAGCTGCGCGCGCGGCTAGCTCGGCCAGCGCGGCCAGCGCGGCCACCACCGTCAGCAAAGGAGGGATCCATTTAAAACGGGAACGGGGGCACGCACGCGCAGGGTCGGGCCCGCTGAGCAGCGGCACGGCGGCACCGGGCGGATAAGCAATCGACCGTATCATCAGAATATCAGAATATTTGAAATAGGCGTGAGCACCTTCACACCGACGACAGTGACAGTTGAGTAAAACTTAGCATTTGCGGAGCGCCTTTGAATTAGTCGACGTTAGTCATCAGCTTTTAGATGGTGGAGATATTCTCTCAAAGGCACCTCTGCAAAGTTGCCTTAATCCTCGTTTGGCTCGCCAGTGTTCGCCTCCCTCGCGCCCGCACGTCCTTTTGACGCAAGGACCTCTCGACACGTTTCGTTATTCATTCCTGAGGCAAGGGGAGCGGAGTGGAGGGGCGCGGCATGCGTCATTCGCTTTTCGCTTGATTCAGTGACCGGGCCCGCGGGGGCCAGACGCCCCGCGCCGCCCCGCGCCGCCCCGTGCCGCCCCCCGCCGAGAACAACAAGAGCAAGGGCGTGTGATTGGTAAACAGCCCGTCAAAATAACCTGCGACAGCACTAGCTAGTTAGGTAACCAACGGGGAAGAATGTACCCGTGTGTGAGCCTGCTGAGCGGATGTCTCTGCTTTATTGAAAGGTTATCTATGCGAATGATGTAGTTCGCTTGTTCGCTGATTAGCATGTCGACTGGCCTCTGATGGTGGGCGGTTGGTGGGCGTGGCCGTGTGCACTTCGCCATGCACCCCCCGGGCCATGGCGGCTGGTGGGCTGGACGTTTCCAGAGCACGGCCGATTCCGAGTATAGCGCCCGTTTGAATGGGCTCCGATACGAGTGCGCATGAGGTTCCCGCCCCCCGCTGCAGCGCGCCGCACGTCCACCACCAGGGCGGCTATACGGCCTGTGCCGCCGGGGCGGCGAAAATAAATGGAAGCATCGGGAAACATCCTCATCGCGT